TATTTGACTTTGGTACCCTGGTATTGTATATATGTTTATTTGAATTAGGGAAGGGAAGAGGAAGAACAGAATGGCGAGACAAAGGACAAGGAGGCGGGGAGCCAATGCAACAGCAATATACACAAGACAATATGTTGGTAATGGTCTGTACAACTTGAGGGTGGGGAGTGAGGGGTGAGAGAGCAGGAGGAAAATGAGGGAAGGGATAACAAGTTTGATATGAAATGTATTTATTACCTTACTTATGGAACTGTAATCCCTCTGTACAACACCTTGATAATAAAACATAAAAAATACATTGCAACTATATAAGGAGATGGCATAAGGAATCTCAACAAAATCTGTGCATCAATAAGGGTTGGGACAGCAGGAAAAGAGAATAAATAACTTAAAAATCTTTTGAGCTAGACTTTTGGTGTTATAGGTGCCAGAGGAAGAGGACGGGACTAATGGAGATGGTAACAATGACAAATTTCATGCAAATAGTTTATCTGTATGTATGAAAATAGAATAGTAGAACATGTATGAAAATAGACATTTTAAAGATAAGGGGCTAAGTTTGATCAGGACACACTGTGTACATTTCTGACAATGTCACAATAAAATATCTCTCATGTACCTAATATATGCTAAGAAAAAGTTTTAAAAAAGAAGTACTGTTTTACAAAATTTCCAAGCAAGGTAAATTTAAGGAATTTCAATTATATAAAACTATAAAAACTATATAAAACTAAAAAACATATAAAAAGTATTACAATTTGAAATAATGGTAGTATTACCGAATGGTAATGGTAATAATAAAAATTTAGGTATCTAGCAACAAATCTAAGAAGAGACATGAGAGACATTTATGTACAAAATTATAAAGATGAATGAAAAAGAAAGAAGAGCTAAATAAACAGAGAGAAGATACACTGTGGTTAAGATTAGAAAGCTTGACTCATGAGATAAGCCAAACCCAAAGAGCCTAATATTGCATGCTATAGTCTATTTGTGGAGTATGGTCCTAAAATGATGATGGTAGTTATGGTAATGGTACATAAATGTAAAAAAGGGACTGTATAGGAGGGAAGCAGTGGGGGAAGGAAGAATAGGCAGATACTGAAGCTCAAAGGATATTACATACATGTATATAATATATATTTATAGTATTTTTATGTTCAAAGTGTAACATTACATATGCCATCTATTATGTATTAAATATGTTGCACATTGTATATTATATCTTGCATATTTGCAATATTATACATGTATTACATATATAATGTGGTTTATATCATATGTAACACATTTATATTACATATGTAATATATATGGAGTAATGAAACTCACTAAGTGCCGCTTCATGATCAGAGGGAAGGAAGGCAAGGAACAGAAATATGGTTGAGGAGATGAATTTATTCAGAATACACTGTGTACATGTGTGGAAATATCTCAATGAACCCTCATACTACAAGTGCACTTTAATTTTTTTTAAAGATTCAATATAAAAAATATGTCAGATTTCTCTAAACTACCCTATAGACTTCATATAAACATGCACACAGTCCAAGAATTTTTGTTTAACTTGACAATGCAATTCTAAAACTTATAAGGAAAACCAAGTGTCTGCAAAGACTAAACTGAAAAGTAGACTGGGTGATTTGCTCTTCCAATGTTAACGCCTATTCTAGAACAATAGTAATTTGCAAACTGTGTCACCTGTAGAAATACTCAAATTGAACAATGGATAAAAAATAGTATCAGGCAGATTTCATCTATATTGGACAGAGTATGCACTACCAGTGACTGGGAAAATGAGACAAGAAATTGTTAATCCATTCAGAATAATAAAAATGGATATGTTAGTAAGCTGAATGTTTTTGACCCTTTCAAAATTCATATCCTTTTTTATTGTGAAAATACTGTACAGAGGGGTTACAATTACATGGGCAAGGTAATGAGCACATTTCTTATCAAGCATTGTTGCCTGAAGCCTAATCCCCAGTGTGATGGTATTTGGAGAGGAAGGCTTTGGGTAGTAATTTGGATGAAGTTATGATTTGGGGACCCTATGATGGGATTCATGTCTTTCCGAGAGGAGGAAGAAAGAGCAGAGCATGTGCTCATACCCTAGCTCCCATGAGAGGGAATGGTGAAAATGCAAGCCAGGAAGAGAGCTCCACCAGGAACTGAATCTCCAAGCACTGTGATCTTGAACTTCCAGCATCCAGAACTGTGAGAAATGGTGGTGTTTAAGCCATTTAGTGTAATGTAGTCTGATATGATAGCATGAGCTGGCTGACAAATATGAGATGCCTATGTATTATATGAAACAAAAAACAGTTCCACTCTGGAGATGAAAACTGTATCTAGTAGAAGGATGGAATTATGGCTCAAAGTGGTAGAACATCTGCCTAGCAAATGCAAAGCAGAGTTCAACTGCAGTACCATTAAAAACAAACAACATTCTGGTAGAAAAATCATGAGAAATACTTACATACTTAAATAAGACATGAATGTGCTAATATACAGTAGAAAATGCTGATTGATTTTATACATTAAACATGAGAACCTATATTTATTGAAGGTCACAATAGACTTCAAAGTCTGTCATAAAGACAGCTATAAATGGAGTGATTTTTGTAGTACACATAAGCAACACAGGGAAGGTTTGCATCCAGTCTGTGCAGAAAGCATAGATGAATCAATAGGGAAAAGAAAACAATGGGAAGAAAGTACTGAGTAGTATTTCACAAGAAAGAAAACATGAATGAGACCAATATTACATGAAAAGATGCTCAAACATGGCAACGAAGAAAACATCACTTCTATGCTATTTTCTACACATGTACACACATAAATATTAATCAGTGTAATAGGTACAAGAGTTGCTGAGAAACTGGAACATTAGGAATTGTCAAATTTTACTAGGGGCAGGATTAATTTATGTAACCGAGAAAAGTTGGACATGTATATTCCTTTGCCTAACTGTGGATATAACCTAGGACATTAGCTATCCAAAACTGTTTTCTCTGGTAGCATTTAGAATCTTTACAAGGCAGGGTGCCAAGGCAGAAGGTCTCCATAGCCTGCCACTCAATTCCTATCCCTTAGGAACCTGTTGAAGAGACATTTTCACCAGGGGTCAACCTTATCCAGACTATTAGCATCTGTGTATGCAGTGTTGCTATCTGCACAAAACCTCTAGAGGGCAACTTGCAGCAGGATCTACATGTTGCTTTCTAATAACCTTTCCATTTGTCAAAAAAAGATAAAAGGATGGCTCACTGGATGGTGAGACCTCCTACCCCCTTCTCCCCTACCCTGAGTTCAGACATAAGTCCAAGGCTCATCACAGCAGCTGACCATAATTCTGTTTTCATGTACAAGAGGACTTGGTAAATACCCTAGAGAGACCATTAATTCTTGGGCCACTCATACCTTAGAATAAGAAACCTGTCTTTCTTGTTTTCTTAAAGTATCTCAACTGCCCCCTAAATCTTCCAACTGGGACTTGGGAAACAATTCTTACTTCTTCCAACATCCACTTCTGGTTTACATATATCACAACCTTTAAAAAGTGAAGTCTGTTCCTTCTCCAGCATGCTGAACCACCTTAGCATTATCAGTAGCAATTCTCTTTAACTTTTCCAGCTTCTTCCTTTCCTTCCAACTATTACGATGGTGGCCAGTAGAACCTCATTCAACACTCTTTTTATCTGGATAGCAGGACAAAGTTGGAACTGGCATCATGTGGAACTGGCATATAGAGAGGTGCCCCTTAGAGTCACCAAACCATGGGTGAGTCCCCAGTTTATAGGATGAGAGAGTACTAGCTGGGGAATTTGGCCACTAGGCAGAGGTTGTATGTTGTCTTGCTAAACAGAATGAGTCTTGAATTACATGGGGCCCAAATTCAAGCTGCATCGCTGTCTGAACTGAATAAATGTGGTGAACCCTTTGCAGGTGTAAATGCAAAAATAGAGAAACAGGGCCATGCTGGCCTCAGGAAAACTTGAATTCATGATGATCTAACAAAGTTGTCTCAGGAAATTTGGGCATGTAAAAGAAATATCAGTTAGGGGGCTTAGAAGTATCAGTTACCTATGAAAGTCATTTTCCTTTCTGTTCTCAAGTGTCAATACATCTCAGCAGGAGAGTGACTGACGGGAGATAATGAAGTAATCTCATGTCCTCTGTGATCTCATGTTTACATTTAAACATGGAACACCTCTGTCTTCTTTCCTAAACTCTTAAGTTGGATTTGGCCTCCTATAAATCAGTTTTGTCACGGCCTGCAGCTCCTTTTCAGAGTTACTTCCTTATAATTTCAAATTGTGAGTTTTGCATTTGAAACCATGGTACCAACTCTTCTCAATCACTTACACTCCCAGGGTCAAAGCTGAGGAGCTGCTCATGGAACTGGCATTGAGGCAACTTGAGAACAGAGAGTAGGACTTAGTGCTCTTAGAGTCAGGCAACGTCTTGAAGTTGCAGAACACCAGTGAGTAGGATTGCCAGAACCCACCTAACATAAAACAGCCCAACAATGCTCTAAAGCAGAGGTAGAAACCAAAATGAGAGAATATGATTCCTTAATATATTTTTCATGGATTATTCTTGGCAATTTTGTTATTAATTTTTGGTCAGTCATCCATAGGACTTGAACTCTGGGCCTGGGTGCTGTCTCTGAGCTCTTCAGCTCAAGGTTAGCACTCTACCACTTGAGCCACAGCACCACTTCTGGCTTTATCTGTGTATGTGATACTGAGGAATCGAAACCAGGGCTTCATGCATGCTAGGCAAGCACTCTACCACTAGGACACATTCCCAGCCCCAATTCTTGGCAATTTCAAAATGAATAGTTTTAAAAATTCTTGTCTGTGTAAAGGTACAAAGAGGTTCTAAAACAACAGCCCAAAGGATATTGGCATGAGTTTTATACTTGTTCCCTCAATAATCAGATTCTGTGTTAACCAAGAAGCACCCATTCCCAAATGAAGAAATGCCGGACTCACATTGGTGACATACTCGATATCCTTCCAGAGGATGCACTCCCTGGGGAAATCGGCCAAGTCCAGGAAATGATCCACCACCACTTGGCCGATTAAGTCATGGCGAGAGAACCTGTCAAAGTCATATACGGAAAAGTGAAGCTTCCGAGCTTCAAGGTCATTGTAGGGAACTGGAAATAAAAATACTTCATCAAACACCGGGTTCAGGGTCTTTCTGTGAACTTTAGTCTGGTGTTTTGTTTTCCGATCAGGAAGTAGGTAGATCTTGACGTAAGGATCTGAAGTTCCAGAAAAATCCTTGGCGGGCAAATTGACAGCTTTGTGAATCTTTACTATGAGCTGTTCTAAGTCGCAGTCATATTTTAAAATGAAGTTCAGTTTCCCACAAGCTTTGCTGTTATTCCTTCTCCCGTCATCATTATCCAAGGACCTCTGCTTATATAACTCTGGTTTAATTCTACCAATTCCAGTCAACTGCTCCTGTTTTTGAAGTTGCTGGATATTGAAGTCCGGGTTTGACAGGTTGAGTTGTCTTCGGATTGAATTATGCCTTGAATGAAGAGCAAGACAGAGCAAAGTTATAACCTCATTAGCTACGGGTCTTTCAGAAACGTGTGCCTGGAATGTAGGTAGACTGTTGTGTCCTGTTAAGAGCTTAGATCTATGGACTTTTTTTTTTCCTTTTTGGCCTAAATTCAAAATGCTCATCAGTGTGAGTAAGCTGCTCCCTAAGGCTTGAAGCTCAAAATTGAGGCTTGGTATCAGGAAATGAACTGACTAACATGTGACCTTGGAGCTTGAAAGGTTTAATGCATTTTCCAAACTGCCTAATGTGCCATTAAAGAAGCTTATCTGGTTGGTGGAATGTAAAGATTCGTACAAGCTGCTTTAAAAATAAAAATTTTTCACTTTTGTAGATAATATCCTGAAATTGAAATAGTTAGGTAAGGGTTGTTTTGTTTTGTTTTTTTTAAAAGAAGAGTGCATCTCTCTCCAAATTACATTTCCTGTCATTGGCTTACAGCTTTATAAGGATGTGCATTTTTTATACAGTTCAGATCAAATCATTTCATGACAAGAACACAGGTTTTGCTCATGGGTAGAGGGATGTGACTCGGGTGGGGTTGCAGAGGATGGTAGCTGTGACAGTTGTGAGTGACAGCGCTGAGATTATGCTGCAGTTGTATCATGTGAATGATTGACAATCATGGGCTTTCATTTCTGGAATAAACATCGATGACACAAGAACTAAAGAAAAGCTACTTAAAGGCAATGACAGTCGATTCAGTTAGAGAAGGCTGGATATTAATATTTGCAAATTAAATATTTGTTCTGAGAGTCTACTCTTTATAAGCTTACTGGCCTGGGTTAGATGTTTCTCTATAAATGTCTTTGAAATCTGTCTTATCTGTGTGTGTCCTTACAAGGTGAAAGAAGTAATCATAGTCAAGGTTGCTTTTAAGGTTATTTCTGCTTTTCTTCATTTTTCTTACATTGTGCTATATGCAGCGATCCCTCAGTAACTAATTAAAATAGCGTCTCTCATGGAAGGCTAAAAGCATCTGGGCTGTCACTGAGGGATGGGCAAATAGTTGGAGAGGGAGAATCAACATTTGCATTTGTCTTCCTTTCCTTTCTTGAGAGTACCTTATGAAATAAAAGATGTAAAAGTGGATTAACAAACCTTAAGACATGTTGGAAATCCCTTTCCTTTGTTATCACAGATGTCAGCACACTGCACATTCCTCTCAGTCCTAAAATACCCTCCTAATCAGTAGTCACTCACACGGTCTAACAGAACACTGTCAGAGCTGTCATTTGTTCTTGTCACACCCAACACAGACCACAGCACACAGACATATGCAAGGCATAAATATTCTGTATGGTCTAACACTTGCTGCTATAAAATGATTATTTCTCCCAGAAAAAGAAATCATATAATCTTGAGGTTTCTGATTATTTTAGGGGGCAGGGAGACAGAAGATGCTGCTGAGTGACCACACTCGCTTTCCAGGGGGGCACCACAGGCTACTGCCTTGTCTGTAAATGGAACAACTGGGATGCTAGAGCCGAGCTTTTATCTGACCCTCCTGGCCTCTGATCAGGAAGAACTGTTAGGGAGCAGCCAAGGCCAGAAGGTGATGGTACCAGTTCCATCTCCTTCTGGTACTGATTTTTTCTTTGAGACTGGATTTTTTAAAAGGTCCATTCTTCAAGATGGGCACTGAGAACTCATACCTGTAATTCTAAATACCCAGGAAGCGGTGAAATAAGGATTGTGATTCGAAGCCAGCCCTAGCAGAAACGATTCGGAGATTCTTCTCTCCAATTAACCAGCAAAAAAAGAGCCAAAGTAAAAGTGTGGAATAGCTGTAGGGATATCTACCAGGGGCTACTATGAACCATTTTGGGTGCTGGTTAGAGAGTGATACTGTCTACAAAGTAAAAGGCACCCTTAAAAGGCCATGAGGCTCCTTCTTGGAGAGGAAGTCACTGTGGTCACTTTGCTCTGAGGAGGCTGCTGAGCAGACTCTGTATATAACAGATAACAATGTTTCTTACTATGGCTTTGGATTCACTATATCACAGCAAAAACATTCTGCCTTCACCCTTCTATGTGCAACTAAGCCTACCAAGTAAATTTTAATTTAAATTTATAATAAATAGATTTGGCTACTTAGCAATAGAACATACTCTGTGGTATTGTATGTATTTAATTAGATGTAAAATTCAGAGAAATTGGTACTCCATGTTCAGTTCTTCCTAACATGACTGTCGGTGGGGTATAGTAGGTGAGTTGAACAGGGCCATTATGCTTTAAAGGTAAAAACAAAATCTCATTCCCTGAGAACTCAACTATATAGAACCCCCACTGCAGTTTCCAATATAGTCAAAGATTCTTCTCAAAAATCAGTCACAAACAGGAACACTATTATCTATCAAGTGTTTTTTTTAACATGTGTGTTCCATTCCCAGGCCTTTTCTCCACATTCAGAGTGGAAAACAGTTGACACTCACTGTAATGCAGTTCCTTAAAACAGATTATAACCAGGCATGACAGGTTCTTGTGGCCTGGGGCTCCTTTTAGGAGCCAGTGAGTTTATAGTAAAGTTGAGGAGCATAGAATAGAAGAGTTCAGAGTGGCCAGAGAACCAAAGTAACTCATACCTTCCCTGCATAATTGCTAGCACTCTAGGGGTTGAGAAATAAGAGCACAGAGCAGGAAGGTTGCCCTAGGGACATGAAGGGGAAGATGAGATGGCAGAAATGGAAAATCAATATTCCATAGCTTTCATAGGCTACTGAAACGAGGGTAGGATGATAAAAGCATGTTCAAAGTAAGAATAAGAAAAACCATAAAACAGAGATTGGAATGGATCTCCCCCGCTCAACCCCAGGTGAGGTGGCTCTTGTAGTATGTATTAGGTTCTCCGGAATATCACTGAGTAACATCGCTTATGACATTGAGTGAGTGTGGTAAAGAGGAATCATTTTGTGAAGCACTCTGGAATCCTCTGTTCTTAATGTAGATGATGAACAACAAGAGAAAAACACACCACCAAAAATGGTTACAAAGGGGGAAGAAAAGTCAAGAGGTTGTCTTCCTTGAAAATAAGCCACACCCAAACACAGACTCAAAGAAGCTGGCTCTGAGGTTGGGACTCTCTATTTCTTCTACCTCCTGTTTTTCTCTCAGGGCCATCAGATGGCATTGAAAAGACAAGAAAAAGATCTTCAAGATGAATTAGGTCTTCTAGACCTGAGCTCGAATGGTAGTAGCAATTAGGCTACTCCAGAAAGCACTGAGTTCAAAGATAATTAAAACTTTTGCAAATTTCCTACGGTAAATTCAAACACATCTGAATGAATCTGAATCTTATGCTAAGCTGCAGCCATAGCTCAGGAAGGAGCAGAAGCCCAAAGGCAAAGGGGCTTTTACATTGGTGCATTCTTTCTAGATTAATATTTTAAGGAATGATTTCAGTACTTCAAAATGTGTGATTGGTACTCTTCTTGGGGACTTAAATGGGAGAGATTATATTGAAAATTATCTGTACAATTTGGGGGGGAATGGAGAAATAGGCAAAGTGGGAGAAAAATGAGGGAGGGGGTAACAGGTTCAACAAGAAATTAACAAAGGAGGAGGCTGCAATGCTTGGTAAGAAATGTATGCATTATCCTGCCCATGTAATTGTAACCCCTCTGTACAGTATGTTCTCAAATAAAATAAAATAAAATTAAAAAAAAAAGAAATGTACTCACTACCTTACTTATGTAACCATGCCCCTTATGTCTATCACCTTGACAATAAAATTAAAATTGAAAGAAAAAGGAGAGATATATTTTCTTCCTTCCTTTCTTCCACCCTAGTCTTCCGGGACTCTCACTGCTAGAAAAGCACTGTGGATATATTTTCTGATCATTAAATCCCAGTAGAGAAAATATTCAGTTACATATAATTTCAGGGCCTTGTGAGAGTTAAGATAGGTCTAGGTAGCCTCCATTTTGAAATAGTTTTTTAAAATCTGAAGAGATAACAATATGAGTGATTCAAATTTTATTTTGTTCCCAACACAAAAATAGAGCTTAATAGAAATGTACTGGTCACAGTAATTCAAACATTGAATATGTATTGCTTATTGGATTTGTAGCTAATAAAGGGATCCAGTGTAAGGATTATCTGATTCCTTGAGTCCTATCAGCGTATTGTTGTGACTCTATTGGTTGCTCTACTCAAAGATAAGGTCAAAAGTCTGAATCAGAAAGAGCCTCTTGACTAATGTCAAGCCGGAGATAAATGGCTTTCTACTAGACTCACACCATTGTGGGTCTTATTTAGTTTGTACTTTTGGCCTTTTGCCATTTATGTCAGCAGAACCTGAGAAAGGTGGCCTCTAGTGATGGATACATTCTGTCATTTATTTGTGGAGGGAAAAAGTCTACTATGTGCCTTGGGCTGTCCTAGGGGCTAGACACAGGGAAGGAAACAAATCACACCTGGTCTCTGAGCTCATGGAACTCAACGTCCAAAGGGAAGTCCCAGACAATAAACAAGTAATCACTTATAAACAGAAGTCCAGGCAGCAAAGGGGGAAGGCAAAGCAACCTGAGAATTGTGAGTGGAGGACAGAACATATCCTTCAGGTACGGGGGAGGGGGGCGTAAGAAAGACATTCAGGAGCAGAGTCATTTAAGCTAGGATATTAGAGTTATAATGCAGCCAGTAAAGGCAAGTATAAAGGAACTATATTTCTGGCTCAGGAAACAATGTGTGTATAGGTCTCTAGGCAGAACACTTGGAGACTACAGGAACCAAGAGAGAAGGAAGTACACAGCTGGAATAGGCAGCCTTTCTTCAGGTAAAGCCTCCTACTGAGTCTATGTGAACATGGACTCTGGGGTGGTTAACAACTCTTGGGTTATATGACATAATGGTCCTGGTAGGAGTTGAGGCTGTGCCAGTATGAGGCAGTTTGTAGGGTAGCCAGTCAAAATTTCATAGCATCAAAGTGTTACAAAGGAAATTTGAAAGTATTTAAAATAGTCATCATGGGACCAGCATCAGGAAATGAAGGAGATAGCCTTCAAGGTTTCTTCTACTTTGGGGATCTAGGGATTTTTGTATATTTGCAGTTGAGACCTTTATTAGAAAATTCTAGTATTGAAAATTCTGAGAAAATGAAGACATTCGCAATCCCAACATATAAGGTCATTAATACAGGAGGAATTTCATCTAAGCTGAAAAGAATTAACAGGAAATTTGGATGGTTTTAATAGCAATTGAGCTAACTAAACACAAAGTCTTAATGTATTTGATCTTGGGAAAAAAAAAAAAAAAACAAAGTCATTCTGACCAGAAACATTCTTAGAAGATAAAACAAAACTCATCTTCAGGATCTTCATATAGCACTGGTATGAGCTGATTGTTTCCAATCTGAAGAGCCAGGTGGGTTAGAGATTTCTGATGGAGAGCTATAACAGAAGCTGTAACAACCAAGGTGAGATATCAGGTGCCCTGAAATGGAAGACTAAGTTTTAAATGAACTCAGCCAAGGAGATGTTATGGGAACGCTGTGACATGTGATAGATAGAAAAATCCTGGCCTGAGAGAATGATGTGCGTGGAGGCCTCTAGGTAGGAAAAGGTACAGGTACCGAAGGAACCAGGAGGGAGGATGGTGGAATGCAGAATATTCTAGCTTTCTTTTGGAAAGAAAGAAAACGGCAATAGTAACAAAGCGAAGGACACAATGAAGAAGAAAGCAGGAGATACAGTAGCTCTAGAAGAGCAAACTTTTGGGACCATCTCAGCAAAGTATAACTTCTCCCTTCCTAAGTATGTTACTTAAAAATAGAATGTTAAAAATGTTTCAGAGTTTGAAGGAAATATCTTTCAGTTTTCCATTTTGTCAGTAAGAATATATATATATGTATGTATATATGGAGAATATACGTATATATTATATATATGGACCGGGTGGGTGGGAAGGGATGGGATTGAATGTCGAAAGGAGTGGCATTGATCAAGACACTGTACGCATAAACTGCTTGTTAAAGGGAAACTCCTTTGTACAACTCCTTAAAGGTAATGTTTAAAAAAAGAATGTTTGTGTTTGAGTGAATGTATATGCTTATGGCACAACAATATTGCTAAAGAATTAGAGGACCATGCATTACTAGATAGGGATATATACTTACAGTCAGAACACATAAAACTAGGTCAGTGGTAATTTGGGTATGAATGTTTTAAATGTATAATGATACAAATTGTTAATACTAGGTCAAATGTAGCTGCAAAGACTTTAGTTTTCTCATGGCAGTTTTGCTATTACAAAGTCTAATTTCCACCATCAGAAAAAAATACTTTAATTGCATGTCTTCAAAACCAAAATAATCTGAATGTAAAATGCATTTTTACAGGGATAATTCCTTTGCTTTCTTTTTCCCCCTTTTCTACACAATTTCCATAGGTCAGTGGTAAAGGTAACAGTGTTTTCTCTTCTAAGCAGTTTATATTTCTTGATATACAAATTATTTATATTCTTTTCTAGAATAGTGTGATAATTACAGTGATATTACAGGTATCAGTTCATTAGAATTATATGACAGAATGCTCAGATCAAATCTAATAAAAGCAGTTTTATTATACTGTATTAGAGGAATTCAGACAAGTAAAACCATATGCAGAGCAGAACTGGAACACAATTTTAACGGGGACCCCATCTTCAGGTCTTTTAACAAAAGGGCTTTGTTATTATGAGTCTACACCATGCATAAACTCCATAACAGTGCTGAACAGAACTCTAGCTATTTATAAGTCTTAAATCTGAAATCCTAGTGATAAAAATCTGAGAATTTCTTCTAAATCAAATGGCAAACAACCATTTCCTGACAGAGGAATATTTTAGGTTTAGCTCTTTGATTCAGAATTAGAAATGATGCTAAAATAGGTTTCTGAAAAAATTAAACTATCAACTGTCATATTTCATCCCACTTAATGTGAATGAGTAGGACCGCTAGGATAAACCTGATTATCATAAAAAAAGGGTAAAAATCTTATTTCTGTTTCTAGAGAATAAAGGATTTTGAAAAAATTGCCCTCCTCCAAACCATGTTCATATTTTCTTAAAAGAAAACAGTACACTGCTATTCCTCTGGCTATCAGGCAAGCAAATATCTTCATTTTAACAAAAGTTGCTTCCTGTGTTACTTTTCAAAACAATCTCTTATTAAAAGCCTCTTTTAATATCCAGTGGTTTTGATCTGGATGTTTAGCTTCCAATTCATCATTTTATAATGTCTGAGTCTTGGGACAGGCCTGTCCTCAATAACAACTGTAATGAAAACATTAACATGGAAAGCAAAATGGCAGCACTTAATGGGTGCAGACCTTTGTAAGTGTCATCACTTACCTCACAAAGCCACCTAAAAGTTGGTATGTTTACTATTCCTATTTGACTAAAGGAGAAATGGATACATACAGAGGGTTTGTAATTTGTTCTATTTCACACACATACGTAAAGCCAGATTATTAACTACCCAAGGTCCATGGTTTAAATCACTAAGCTTCTATCTTACTTAATAACAAATGATAGAAAAAGAGTGACCTTAGGCGATGTACTCTGTAGATCTTACAAAGGCTCATGATGGACAAAGATCTCCAGTTATATCATGGAGTCAGAAGAGAGCCTATTAGGGACTGTTAAGCTAGGTCAGAGACATAGTAAGTAAATTCTACAGCATTAGGAGGACATCAAGGAACAGTGTCTGAGACCTCAGATCTTGGGTTCATACTCTGACCTGAGTGATTAATATGTGTCTTTGTTTCTTAATCTACCTGTTTCTTCTTTTATAAAAGGAAAATAATAATATCCACCTCAAAGTTGGATGCTCTAATCAAATAATAAATATAAAGTTATGTATATCTTGACACATGGTCAGTCTTCTCAATGTTAGATAATACTTTTATGGACTCTGTGGAGTCTAAGCAGAGCTCAGGAACTCATTTCATCACAGGAAGCAAAGGTTTCTGAATGGACACATAAAGGGTGTAGGTTCCTTGGATAATCAATACCACCCCTGCCAAGAAACAGAGATGGGTGGGCCTTGTCTTACATTCAGAAAGTAAAGAGATATTACTGACCGAGCCGACGATGTTGGCTCTGTGACTTGGCGCTGCACCCGGACGCCATGGGCACAATTCTCCTGGACTCCCGGCTGAGTGGAGAGGGGAATGTCAGGGGAGGTGTGGCTGATCTTCATGGAGGAGTCAGGGCAGGGCGTGGGTGGGTCTAGGAAGTCCTCACTGTTCTCCTGTTCATTGGTCTCTGTGTCTGTGCAGTTTAGAGGCTCCTGGTTGTCTTTGCTACCAGAGAACAAGCCTCGTTCTCGCCATGGAACCCAGCAGAGTTTCCAAGACACGAAGAGAGATACGCCAAAGAGGGCGAGACCACAGGCAGTGACTATGAGGGTTAGCAGGCTCACTGAGATATCTGCAAAGAAGCAAAGATCAAGGTCAGTGTGGTGGGCCCGCCCCACCTGCCCACACCTGCCCATTGCACCGTGTGGGGAGAGTCACCACTCATCCAGTCATCCCCAAGGAGCTGACTGGAAGGCCAGGTTAGGAATGTTGCCAGATCACCTGATTCTATGGCAGTGACAATGAAGATTAAGACAGAAACCAGAGAATTGGTGAACAAAAGTACAGAGGACATAATACCACCTACAGGTAGCCTATGATGAACAGCAAAACAAATGGGTATGGTTTTGGTAAACTAGGAATCTTTGCAAGTCTAATCACACAGATAACACAAATCATTAGTATTTTCTGAGTAGAGACGTTTCAAGTACTGAAAAATTACAGATAAAGTTATGCTATACATAACTTTAAACCTGGTCTCTTAAAGAGCCTTTACTCTGCTCGAGAATAGAGCTAGAGAGGCCAAGGCATCAATCCGAACTCAGTCCTGCTGCTACTAACGTACACCCATACCTCTGTTTACTGGGCTTTCCTGCACCCAGGATCCCCAGGCACATTCCCCAGGTTTTGCCTCTATGTTTCACCATTAGTATTTTCATTGTTCCCACCAAAGCTTTGTGACTGTCTACTATGTGTCAGATAGTGTATGAGACTCTGGAGACATGTTGACAAGCAAGATAGAATTCAGAGTTACTCTAGATCATACAAAACTAGTTCTTTAATCCTCACCATTTCAACCATCCACAGGAATGCTAACATTCTAGGATCTGTGGCAAGGTGCATTTCTGCTGGAGCATATAGGCTACTCCTGTAAGTTACTCACCTACTGAGTCAAGCTGACCAACTACCATCCATATGCTTTCCAACGTAACTCTGAAAATCCTTTGATCATTGTTATGAAATAATAACGCTGTAAATGAAGAAATTCTCGTGAACCAAGAATGGTGGTGTATGCCTGTACTCCTCAGCTACTTAGGAGGCAGATCATGATGACTTTGAGGCAAAGATAGCAAGACCCTATTTCAAAAACAAAACATAAGCTGGAGTTGTCATTCGAATGGCAAAGCATTTGTCTAATACATACAAGGCCTTTAGCTTAATCCCCAGCACAAAAAAAATCCACTAAAAATTGTTCCTGAAAGAAAGCCAACTGTCAGGTTGGTAATGGATCTACTAGATGTGTCTTACGCTTCCTAATTAATCTTTGCCATTGTGGTGAAACAAAATTACATCTCATTTGGAAAACAATGGGGTTTCAGTGTAGGTGACTGAGCTTGAATCTCTGTGCCTTTTGCTTTTGTAAATCCCACAGAAATGATTAAGAAATGGAAAATAGACAGGGTATTGCCAATCGATCACTAAATCAGTCACTTGAAGGAATTTCTAGAATGGCTTTAGGAAAAGCCCATCAATGATGAACTACTAAGAAAAAGACATTGAGGGCTGGGAAGGTGGCTCAGTGGTAGAGCGCTTGCCTTGCATGCCTGAGGCCCTGGATTCGATTCCTCAGCACCACATAAGCAAAAGGAAAAAAACCGGAAGTGGCACTGTGGCTCAAGTGGTAGAGTGCTAGCCTTGAGCTGAAGAGCTGAGGGACAGTGCCCAGGCCCAGAGTTCAGGCCCCACGACTGGACCCAAAAAAAAGAAGAAGAAAGAAAGAAAAAGAAAAGAAAAAGACATTGAGCAAACATTAAAATTCCCAGGTGTGGGGACAGAGGACAGAATATAGAGTAGGTATAAATAAAACAAAAGTTCCTAGAATCCACACTGCCTGGGGTCCCAACATGGGAGAATATGGTATTATCTCAGGCTCCATTTGGCTCTGACAGTTATCATGGTGAAGTGGAAACTTATTGGTTCAGACTTCTAGGACAAATGATAGGGCTGGGGGCACAAGAATCCCTGCCCCAGTGAGTCTAGCTGCCATAACAAACATCAGTCTCCCCACCTAAAATAGACTCTAAACACAAATCAGGCTCCATACCACAGTAAAATCTCATAATGCTTTATGTAATCCAAATGGAGGCTAACTCCTTCCTTTCAATCTGTTCATTATTACAGTTTTTTTTTTCTGACACATATATTGCTTAAGAACTACATGCAGCTGGTAATGCTTGGACTCTTAGCTACTAGGAAGCTGAGATCTGAGGATCATGGTTGGTAGGCAGCCCAGGAAGACAAATCTGAGCCTCTTATCTCTAATCAACCACTAAAAAACAGAAGTGAAGCTGTGACTCAAGTGGTAGAGCACCAGCCTTGAGTGAAAAGCTAAGGAACAGTGCTTAGGCCCTGAATTCAAGCCCCAAAGCTGGCATGCACACACACATAAAAAGCATGTAAAGATTGAGGGAGGGGTGTGCCAGGTAGCAGTGGGTTTAGAAATGTGAGATGCTAACTCTATCATCATTCATTAACTTTTTGTTCTCCCCTGCCACAGCATTCCCCTCCAAGGGACCTGCATAAAATCCCAGTCCCCTGATGCTGGTCCTGGATGGATGGCTTTTTCCAGCCAATGGAAGATAAGCTGATGTAGCCTGTCTCCCTCAGGATTAGAGAATTTTTGAACCTTGAGATTGTTCATGAGAACAAGGGCTCTCTCATCTTGGACTAAGCTAAACTTCTAGAGAGTGACCATAAAAAGACACACACATTCCCAAAGTCTAGAATGAGTAATAAACAAACCTGACCCATAACCTAGAGCAACACTGCAAGTGATGCACAGATCCATGAACCAAACCTAAATATTTGGTGTCACTGAGTCATTGCAGCAAAAAAAAACAAAAAACATGATTAATCTATACAATTATATAAATTACTGTCAAGGCTGGAATGCTTTTCAGAGAGAACAGGGGTTATATTAATAACTACAAGGAGATAAGAGAATTAACCCAGATGTCCATAGTAAACTAGGACAGAGGATCAGCCTGGACATAAGAATCCCCCAATATGAGCTCTGAAATCATCAACTCACTACAAGATGACCTTTTGAGGAGTGAGCTTGTCATATAAAACCATGACAAGTACCTTGAAGCCTTGGTAGATTTTTGATACTGGCCATAGGACCCCTAATCCAGTTCAAGCACCACTCCAGCTTATTAAGTGACCTCTAACTCAGATATTCAGAGCACAGTGTGCTCACCAGTCTAGTCAGGAGGATCTGTAAGAACAGGGGTCTTGCCTATCTCCATACTGAAGGCCAAGCATCTCAAAGTATACCTAGCACATCGTAGGCATTCAGCAAATGATGACGAGAAGCCTTGTAGCTACCTGGTATGACAATGATGAATTACAGCTGGGAAGGTTGTAGCCTGTAAACTCAGAGAAGGCGTCTGCTAATCACAAGCATAGTTTTGTAGATTTCTGTGTATGTAGACATTACAAATAAGTATAGCAAATGTCAAGAGTAGATTTTTTTTCTTCTTCCCATGAAGAAACCTTGTGAGTTAGCAGTGCACCAGGGAAAAGTCTGCCAGGAGAAAGAATGATGGCCTATCTGCCGCACCAATCACTAAGTGTAACCATTTGGATTTCTGTTATAAATAGCCCAATGTATACCCTAGATACATTTTCCTTTTTTTTTTCTCATTTGGTCATTAAGAGGTAGAAGTCATTATGGTCATACTCCTGTTCTCAGACACATGATCTCAGCAAAAACAGAGAAAGAGTCAGCTGAAATGACCTGCATTAGATATATTGCTACAAGCTACAGTTAGTGTCTGGAAGACAAAATGAAGGTGTGCTAAAAGTGTAATTAGAGGGGCTGGGAATGTGGCTTAATGGTAGAGTGCTTGCCTTGCATGCACGACGCCCTAGGTTCAATTCTTCAGTGCCACATAAACAGAAAAAGCTGGAAGTGGTGCTGTGGCTCAAGTGGTAGAGTGCTAGCCCTGAGCACAGAGAGGCTCAGGGACAGTACCCAGGCCCTGAGTTCAAGTCCCAGAACTGGTAAAAAGAAATGTAATTGGAAATTAAAATATGGAAATGAAAGGAATAATCTGATTAAAGAACTGTATATGCATGTGTGAAATACCAATATGAAAGGAATGTAAATTAGTCCTGTCTGGGTTTGGGGTAGTAGTAGGAGGGAGGAAGGTGAACAGAGAGGGTGAATGAGAGTAAATATGACCAAAAGACTGTGTGTACAAATGTGAAAATAGAACAAGAAAGTTTACTGAGATTAATCTGAGGGAGATGAGAGAGGGAGGAGGGAGCATAATAGAGAGCAAGAAACTAATCAAGTGTATTGCATGCATATATGAACATGTCAAGATGTAATCCCCTTGTATGGCTAATTGATGCTAGTAAAAGCTGTAATAAAAAGAAAAATCAAAGTATAGCTTATGTAAAGGAAGAGAAGTTATGTTTTAAATTAGGTGGCAGGTACATGGTCATTAATTTTATTATTCATCTTTAAATGATGTGCACTTATTGGATATACTCTGGCACTTATGGCATATTTTGCAGTAACATTTGAGAAACATGACAAAAGGAGGTAATTTTTCTACAGAATAGTAATTACACAATTGGTCCTTGTGTCCAAAGGGTCAAGGGGGAGTAGCTAAATGATGATTAGGGGATTAAAGGAGGCAAGTGATACACCACTTGTGAGCCATCTCTCTGGAGATGATGCTGTGTAGTGGGGGAAGGGAGGGAATAAACATAAAACAGTATGAAGAGCTGTGCAGAATGCAGAAAAGAGGCATCGAGTGTGATACTCTGCCCACCACAAGCTACCCACAGCAGCACCAATATCTTGTACACTGGACACATTAGTAGGTGACACTCTGGACTCAGTGATATAGGATCTCTACAAACCTATTTTGAAATAGTATCTACTACTGGCCAAGATACAAAGTTTGAATACCTATTCATCACATATGGTCTGAGGAACAGTAGTTGACCCCCTAAACTGTGAAAGGCCAGAAAGAACCCATGAATAGATAATAAAAGTCATGGGACAAATGGAAAAATCAGTAGCTCAAAAGAGGCTGAGCTCTCAGAATAAATGGCCCA